ACCTAGAAGGGGAATAGCTGAGTCAAATGGAATTTCTAGTTTTAGTTTAGTTTTTTTTTTGGTACCGGGGATCAAACTCAGGACCTTGTGCTTGTGAGAAGGTAATCTATATGTATTAATTAAATTGAAATCTTACTTCTTAAGAGCACTTTGAAAATTAGAATCCCTGACCTAGTCAGCCTCACGAGGCCAACCAATGCAGCCCACCAAAGAAACTTCATTCTGCTTTCTCATCATATCTATTTTATGGCGGAAATGCGTTATGCCTATAAAGGAGAACAGAATGTTGGCTCTACCTAAATGATGAAGGCTAATAACAACAATGTGCTATGTTTTTGGCCAAGCTTAAAATGGCTGGCAAGATCAGTTCTCAACATGTGCAACATTTAAATTAGAAAGGCATGGAACAACATTTCACATCCTACTTTGTCAAGAGAAAAATAAATGGAAGAGGGCAGATCCCTATCCACAAGTATGCAAAAATCAATTAGAATAACTGTAGCTCGCAAATCAGAGAACATGCTCTGCCTGCGCGTTAACAGCTTGGTTCCTATTAGCTGAGCCAGTGTTCTATGCTAGCTTGCCTGCATCCTGCCTCACACTTCCTTCCCAGATTCTCAATCACACTGATGGAAGTACAGTACTTACAAAGATTTCGGAAGCAACTTTTCAAACTCTATTTATGTCAGAATCTAGTTCCTTGCAAGAGCATATAAGCCAGGACATATAAAGAAGAGGAGAGGACAATGGTCTTTGTATATTAGTGTTTACCCATGCGAGAATGTGGCTCATCTGTGAGGAAAAGTTGCAGAAGAGACTTAGCCCATCAGAAGCTACCCCACATAACTGCTAAGGTCTCTTTTGTTAAGGTTTTACAATTCTCTAATAATTTATCTGGGTGTGGTGACACATGCCTGTAATCCCTGCACTCTGGAAGGCTGAGGCAGGAAGATTGCAGGTCAAACCCAGTCTGGGCAACTTAATGAATTAGAGACATTGCCTCGAAATAAAAGGAAATGAAAAAGGGTTAGGGGTATAACTTAGTGCAAGGGTCGTGGGTTCAATCACTAAGGCCAGACACACGTGCAGAAAAACTATAATAACTTGAGTGAAAATGACTCAAAGTTATTCTTCT